AACTGTTCCAATGGTAATTATTCTCACTGTAAAAAAAAAAAAATTAGGCTTTTCCCTATCTGAATTTCCATTGGATCATGTTGTTGTTTTCTTTGCTTGATTGAAGACCCTATCATTAAATACTTGTTTCCCCATGTAGGTACTTACAGCCTGTAACCAGGTCACCCCTTAACCTACTCTTTTGTTAAGCTAAATAGATTAAATTCTGTGACTGGAGTCTTAAAAGTGTGCTGAGGGTATACTGTTTCCTTAATACTATCTTTTCAAAGTAATGGTTTTGCTCTTCTGTTACTTAGGGTTGTTTGCCCCAAAGTTTATAAAGTTTCCTCTTGAAGAAGCTAGTGTCACATTTTATTTAAATAGCTTACTTTTAGGACAGTTTTCTGTTGAATTGTACTTTATTTATATTGTAGTAATTTCCAGAGGCCCATCAGGCCCCAGTTGTTCTAGGTGCTATACAATTAGCACAGTTTTTGGTGAATTTTAATACAGATGATATCCAGTGGTCCTTGTTAGTGCCTAATTCCTTACATGCATCAGTCTTGTTATTTCAGTCCTGTGCTGTTTCTGAATAAAACATATTAATGGAGATGGAAATACTATAATTAAGGTTATGATTTAGTCACAGGTATTTTTACTAAAGTCATGGACAGGTCACAGACAGGAAACAAAAATTCACAGCCTGTGACCTGTCCATGACTTACATTATAAATATTCCTGATTAAATCTTGAGGAGGAAAGGGGGTCAGCCGCACCAGCTTCTGCTCGCTTGGTCCTGGGGACTACCTGAGCAGTGGCCAGTGCCGCTGTCTTTGGGGCCGCCCCAGCGACTGGCTGCAAAGCCCCTCCAGCAGCAGCTGGTGTGGCTGTCCCCAGAGCCACCTGAACAGCTGGCACCGGGGGACCCTGGGGTCAGCCATGCTGGTGGCTGCAGAAGGCATGGAGGTCGCAGAAAGTCACGAATCCATGATTTCTGTGACCTCCATGACAAATATGGAGCCCTAATTATAATTTTATGGGTATATGTGTGTTAACTTATTTTATTTAATTTTTCTGTGCAAATTAGGTGCATCTTTTAGGCTCCTGGCATGATGCTAATGTGACCTTTGAAAAATTTGTATATTGCTTTGCTACAATATGAGAACAAAATATTGACAGTATCTAGAAACAAAAGTTAAATTGATGTGTCTGGTTTTATTGTCCATTCTGAAATGCAAATAAGTAAAATCAAAGTGTGTGGGGGGGGTTTTGTTTTGTTTTTTTAATGGGAAAACCTCAGAGCAAATGTTCATTAAATGGATCTATTCATACATTGCAGGGTTGCCAGGATAAGTGTACACACAGTGCAAAATAGTCAACACACTGACCAATTGAGCTGCAGTATATCTCTGGACAAGGTTTACTGACATGTTTCACAATTACTTTGTTCTCCTTCAACAACTAATGCATCTGATCCTGGTATTATATAAACAAATGCTGCTAGTAAAAATAATCAAATCATAAATACCCTAAACTAAAACTGAAAGTAAGTTATTCTGAAACAATATAGAGAGGCTTCCCCTAAATGCACAAAATGGAAACCATATCCTTCCATAAAATAATATTTTGCCTCATGTTTTTCATATTTAGCTATTTCCAATAAACAGTTACTTCCATGACTTACAGTGAGGACAGGTGGGGTTTTACATGTTAGCAGAACTAACTTTAATCTGAGGAGGAGCTCTTAGAAACAGAGCTTATTATACTTTAGTACACCTCTACCTCGATATAATGCTGTCCTCGGGAGCCAAAAAAATCTTACTGCGTTACAGATGAAAGAGCTCTATATTGAACTTGCTTTGATCCACCAGAGTGCGCAGCCCCGCCCTCCTGGAGCACTGCTTTACCACATTATATCTGAATCTGTGTTATATCGGGTCGCGTTATATCGAGGTAGAGGTGTATAGTATTTCCTAGAGGCCCTAATTGTGATCAGGGCCCAACTATGCTAGATGTACAGATGTTATCTGGCTCAAAATGGGTACAGATAAGAAATCTGATACTGCAAGATATAAGAAACTTCAGTTTTATGTCATATTTTCCTGCACCCTTTCTTTGTCTTCACTGTCAACTATACCTAGGGTGACCAGACAGCAAGTGTGAAAAATTGGGATGGGGGTGGGGGTAATAGGATCCCATATAAGAAAAAGACTCAAAAATCGGGACAGTCCCTATAAAATCGGGACATCTGGTCACCCTAACTATACCAGCTTTACTGCCTTTTTGTTTTCTTCTTCTACTCCATTTTTGCACCACCTTCCATGCGCGCACGCGCTCGCGCTCTCGTTCTCTTTCTCTCTCTCTGAACTCCTGATCCTATTTAGCTAGGCCTCCAATCAGTTTCGTTTTGTTCAAATCTATCCTAAAGACTCAGTTGTTCTGTGAGACTTCCAAATGCTAACACAGTTAAATGTCTCCTCCATTCAGTATGACCTCAAAAGAAGGGAAAAGTGGGACGGAAGGGTGGGAGGAGAAAATAAATAATGGTAAGGGCAGTATTTATTTTTTGTTATGAATCACCAGTGCTTAATAAATATTACATAACCAATGTGACTGATTCCAATTCCATCCTGGTTTAAACAGTGTTAATTTTGGAGGACACTCCTACTAAATCAATTAACCTATTGCACAGTCTGATAACAAGCAAGTTTAGCTTTTTTAAATCTTCATACATTCAGCTGTGTTGAAGTTAAGAGGGTCATTTTTCCTTCTGTGTATGTCCGGTATATCTTATGAACTTTCAATTGAATTACCTGGATGTCTTAGGTAATTAGGACCTTTTTTAAAATACAGAATAGGATATATGTTTTAAATTTGAATTGAAAGGAAATAAAGACGGGCAGGAGGGTAATATGGTAGAGTTGTTTTGTGAGAGGTTGCACCCCTATGCGTCAGGAGTGATGTGTATAAGAATGCATCCCTGAATGGATGTCTTTGTTTGGCTTAGGGGGGCAGAGGTAAATCCTGCCATTGACTGAGCCGGTCCATTGTCAGGGAGCACATATGTACTAGCAGAACTGTAGACATTTGATCTGGGGAGCTAGAGACTGTGTTTCGTTTGGCAATAAACCTGGCCGGGTGCCTTCGTACCTTATCAGAGTCTGTGGTCATTGGGGGTTCTCTCGGGGTCTGCTGTGTCAGCGATTTGCAGAGCCGGGGCAGCACACAGAGGGAACACACGCGCGCAGCCGACTGTTATCAACATTGAACAGAGTAAGGCACCGCACTGGGTGACTTCTGATAACACTTCTGTATCCAAAAGCTGATCATAAAAAGGGAATTGGTTTTTAATTTTTAAAGGGAAAAATAACAATTTTTAGTTTACATATAAACTGTGGGTTGAATACTCCCTTCCTCCCCCACTGGAAAAAATACTGATCTCTAATAAGGTTAAATGTTTACTCATAACTGCTTGTTGCTAAATATTAGCAGTCAATTGTGAGGATATGTCTGACTCACTCCTAGACCTAGGGAATGTTTGTAGTACAGTGTAGCATACTGCTCTCAACCCTTCACTTACTTTTTATTTAAGCTCATCCTAACAAGAATTTATGTATTCTTTTCAAAAATAACAACAACAAAAATTACCTATTCCAAACTGACCATTAAAGGCAGTAATAGGTGCTGGGCTGGCATGGATGTCACTGTCAGTTAGATTCAAGAACAACTCAGTTGCCTTTTATTTTAATATATCAAAATATTATACAGACAATGGTGAAATCTATATGAATGAGGAGGATTGAATAATGCTTTGTTGCTTTACCATGAGTATAGCAAGACAATAGTCTTTCTACAGCTAAGGTTGCAATATAGGGTTGTCAACTCTGACTGAAGCT